GATGAAAAGAATTTTAGAAAAATACTGAAACATAGAAAAACTTCCAAGATGCTTCCTTTCATGGCTGAGTGACTTTTTAGAACCAGAATCAAAAAGCAGACTGATAATTACCTACAGCTGTAAGCAATTAACCCTCAGGCTCCATCTACCCACCCATACAGTTTCCATTATAGCACTGTAACAAAACAGTTAAAAATGGAAACAAAATTCTTTATCTTGAAAAAACTTAGAGGCACAATGAGCTGTGCTGTGGAGTTTTCACCTAGAAATGTTTCGGGGGTATCTACATTACAGTCACACGTAGCACATTATTCAGAAATCAGATTCTGTCCCAGTAACTCATCCAAGTATTTGAAACTTCAGCAAAAGGGGCAGAGATTTAGATTTCGTTTTTTAGTTTTTTGTTCAAACTTTTTACTTACCTTGCTGTGTGTATTTATGATTCTGAGGACTTCTCCTCCTCCTTATGTGATATAGAGGCCAAACAGACCCCCTCAAAACTACAGAGCTTTATAACTGCAACAACAGAGCTAGTAATTGAAAGATAACACATCTTTCAAAGAAAACTATCAAAAATAAATTCAAAAAAGACAAAGCAACTCTCCCATAGTTGTGCTCTACTACAACATGATGTGAAGTTTCTACCAGCGTTAATTGATTTCAAAGAAAGCCATCAATTTCAGTAAAGACAAAAGAAAATAATTTAAGTAGTATGCCTGAAAGTGCACAGTGAAAAAAAAGTTAGGACAAAACAAAACTCAGTAAAAAGCTACAGCTACATACATTACTTGCTTCTCCTATAGATTACCTTGCAAACATGGAGAACCCACATTTTGTTCTGCTTCCCTCCAACACCAGCAGAAAGCACCATCCATATCCAGGAATGCAGAGACTTGTGCAGCTCAGAGCACAAAGCCCAAACTCTTCCCCACAGCCCGACAAGTGAGAGCTTTATGGGGAGCTGATTGGCGCTGATTGAGGTGATTTGCCCCAGCTGCAGCCCTAAACAGCCCCGGGAGTGGCTCCCAGCAAACAGGCCACAGCTGTTTTGGGTGAAATCACTGATTACTGCTGATTCTCCCCAGCTGAGCAACAATCAAGCCAAAAAACAGGCACGGCCAAACAAATAATTTCAACTCTTAAATAATATAACAACTGTTTCTGGTAGAACAAATGCTGTTTTTATTTGTTTCCTAAAAATTAAGAAAAATAATAATTAGCTGAGGCAACTGCTTGTATGATGGAATTGAGGCTTCTCATACAAGTAATACAGCTTTACTAAACATGAGTTGTAACCATCCTTTTCTCCCTCCCCCTTCACCGCATGTCAGATTTTACCTTTAATTTTGCCTTTCTTCAGAGTTTTCTTCTGACTTTCTCCTTGCCTTTCCCAGGATGATGCCAAAGGATGTGGTTTCTCTGAGAAATTTCCAACAGGGTCCCCCAAATGTGTTGTGTTTAGATTTATGTCCCTCTTTAGCTGCTCACAATGTAAGTTCAAGTCAGTAAAGCAAAATAAAATAAAAGAACAAGGTCTGAACACTGTGGTTTCTGTACCACCCCACTAACATGATTTCCTCTGAATGATCCACTTGTCACCAACCCAACAGCTTTAAGCTCAGAAGAGAGCTATTCCGAAATTTAAGCAGATTTTAGGAAGGATTTTCTTTCTTTAAGCAATCCCAGCATAAAGTTTAAACTGTAATCCATGTTACATGCTCAAAATTGTAATAAAGTTCCTCTTTCAGGTTAATTTTTGAGACATTTTCCTTTTCAGAGCTACCCCAGTTTATAGAAAGGAGTGCTCTTGAGCCCAATATTAAGAGCTAAACCTTCACCTGCTGAAACTCAGCATGCTTGACCCATTCCCTGGAGGGAAGCTGATTTACACAGGTGAGAACCCAGCTTTAAGTGGTTTATTCTATGAGACTAAGGAAAAGTGAGTTGTTTTGCTGAGACTTCACCTACAATGCAGCAATGGTTATCAAAGCAAGGCAGATATTGGGAACTTCACTTTGCAAGACAAGTATTGCACACATGTAGCTGTAACTCAGCAGAAAAACATTCTATCAAGTTTCAACTCTGAAATTAAAAAGCACAATTACTCTTTTTTTTTTTCCATTGCAATAGGAAAACAGAACATACTAAGAAATAAGAGCAATGCATTCTTCAGACTGAAAGCAGATTGCCCATGAATTGCAAGCAAATAGAAGAAACTGAGTCACATTTTTATAAGAAAGTAATTTCTAAACTAATGGGTTGGTAGAACAAGACAGGCTAGAAGTGCTGTGCCACAGATGTCACTTTTGTGAAAGCTTATCACCAAAAGAGCACAATAAAAGGAAGGTGCATTTCATGTTCAATCACCTTTGCAGCGTAAACATTCCAGAGGAGTTGGAATATTTGGGGTCACACATTATTCCCTATTTTAAGTACACTCAGGGAAGTTCCAGTTGAAAAACCAGAGCACAGTTTGGTCTTCAAAGTTTTCAGAAACTTCTGCAGTTTTTCTACTTCAACTTGCCAGATATTAAAGGTGAAGGGTCAAACCTGCAGGTGGTGTAAAAAAGCACAGCTCTGTGAGAGCTTTCACCTTATGCTCATTTACATCACATGGAAATTACATTTCTCACTTCTTCTGTGAGTAATTGCACATGTATATATATATATATATATATATATATATATATATATATATATATATATATATGCATGTGTGTGGTGAATACATATTATATAGAAAGTGAATGCTTTGATCTGTCAAAAGGAAGATACAAATATAAAACAGGAGACAGGATATGAAAATCATACATTCTGCATTTACTTTCAAAACTGAAAGTTATGGGGAAAGAAACATTTATGTTCAAGGAGAACCTGGTGATTTGCTTAAATAATCTAAAACCAAACCACTAGCACATGAAGGATTTAACAGCTTCCTGTCAGGGCTGACAGGCTCAAGCTATGACTTGCTAACTTTTATATAAACAAATAATTACTAGACAGTGAGAGATCCATTGCAGATTCCTAGTTTTGCAGTGTAGACCCTGGTACAGCAAAGCACTCAAAACTTAAGGTTAACTTAAAGCAGCTGGGTACTCCAAAGGAGTTTGGCCAGCTCACTCACCTGCTTAAAATTAGGCACATATTTAATTTGAGACCTGTGTTTTAACTCCACCATCAATCAGCAATGCACTTCACCTGTGCATAATGCAGGTGCACCCCACAGGGCTCACACATGCTTAAATGCTTTTCTGAAAGAGGGCTGTGTGGTTTGATTCTTCAAGATGCTGCTCATCATAAATGTAGTCCTGCAAAGCACTCAAACAGGTGAGTCACATCCTGTGCATGAGAATAAAGGAGCTCTGACATCACTGATAAGTTAGACCACACTTCCAAACTTTACAGCACACAGTAAGAGTAAGCCAGGAGGAGAACACTGAATACGAAGAATGCTAAAGTTTATCCCCAAAATATATTGTATTCACAATTTTTTTCCACAAATGCAGGTCAGTTAAAATTACAGTGCTTTAGTCTATAATATGAAAAAGATCTAACATGAAAGCAAAGATGCCTCAGTAAAAGAGGGTTTCAAGCTCCTGCTCTGGGCTTTGCTGTAGCAAGTCAGCAGCATGTTTTGTGAGTAACAGCACAGCAGCAGCAGCTCAGGACACCTCCAGCAGGTTTGTGTGCCACAACAGATCACACCCTTGTGGCCACTCAAGCACCTCCTTGCACCTCTGCTGCAGCTAGAATCTTAAATTGGTCACAAAATGAGAGATTTTTCCAACACAAATCCTTGCACTCTTTCTCCAAAGCATCTTTACAGATTCCTGTGTGTACATAGTCTTTTAGTGCAGCTATTTCTGCCATAACTAATTGGTGTATTTATAGAAGATATTTTTTTCCTGTGGCCATAGGTTTGTTAAGACAACAAAAAGAAAAACAATATGACAAAATAAGAAAAAAATTCCAAAGTTTTTGTGGACTAAACCTCCAAATAGCATAAATCCAGTCAGCAAATAGTGCAATTTGTGCCAAGCTACAAAATTGCACCATCTTCATGAGAAACCATCTTGACAATAGAAAAATGAATTCCTCTAAGAGTACTCCTCCTGTAAGCGCATCATCAATATTCCTCATTTAAAAAGTGTTAGGCTGAGTATACTCTTCCATAAGGCTGGGTGTATGTCACAGTTTGAATTTCCTCCCTACTGCTTCAAGTAGAAATGTAAAAATATGGGGACTTTAATCACCCCATAAATATACGTGTTGTGTAATTATGCAAATCAAATTAGGAGCAGTGAATGGAATGTTTATTTACCCAAAAACCTGACCCAGATTGACTGCTGACTTTCCTGGGATGTGAATGCATTTTTACCTCTGTTCAAACAGAATTTTTCACCCTAATGTAGACAGTGATTTTGCCGCACCAGGATCTACAGCCTTTTCCAAATAGCAGTGCTCTAATAAAGTGAAGGAAGAAATCCAACTGCAAAGGGAAATTACAATCTAGTATTAGGGAAAAATTTGAGAAGACATTAAATTATCCCAATTTTGAAAGAGAGTGATGGTCCAGGAAGAGTAGGAGGGGGAACAGGGTTCCCTTATGTTTGGCATTTAAACTTCAGTTTGGGAAGGAAACAATGTGTTAGATTTTTGGTTTGGTTTTTTCTTGTCATACGACATTGCACTGGTAATATTTGCATGACAAGACATTAAATAAGCTATATGTCTTACTCTATCTTTGTCCTCTGTGTTTTACAGGCAAAAAAAATGGCTTTGTACAGCCATTTCTACCACGATTATAGACATGGCCATTAAAATGTTTCTCTTTACAAAATCAATGGAAAAAAAGCAGAGCTGTGCTTATAGTCTTGTCATTCAGGGATATGATTTCAACAGGGAGCATTGCGTCCATTATGCAACAAATTCAGTGAAATCTTAAAGAAAGAGATGGCACCAGAGGGCACAGGCACTGCAGTGCCATTATCTCCTGCCTCACTCCATTGGTTCCTCCCCATTTTCAGTCATGTACACAAGAAACAAAAGAGCTGAGCAGTTTTTCTTAAAAGCTTTCCCCTTAACCTAAAACTTGTTGTTCATCAAAGCATTTATATATATAATATATATGTCATAATATATATAATATATATTATATATATATGTATAACAAAACACAGAAAGTTAAATAAAAAGAACCACACAGGACAGCAGACAGTAAAACCACAATCCAATAATCCTGTGCTTAAATTTAGAAACTGTGTGGAAGTTTAAATCCTTGTTAGAAGGAAAATACTCTCTGTTTATTGTTTGCTGGATTTGAGTTATAATTCACCTTTAAAGCATTTTTTACTGCTATGCTAATACCAGCTGCTAAGTTCTCTGAGTGAATTGTCATCTTGGCTATAAAACAGGGTTCTGGGGAAAGGAGAAATCTGAGCATGGTGAATTTTTCTAGCAAGAAAGAGATAATTTTTTTGCTCTTAAAAAAAACCATACCTGTAAGGGAATAAGTGTTGAAATCCATGGGAAAAAAAGAAAAGTATGGCCCTCAGTCCCAGTAACAGGTCTTCTTTGGCACTTGAGAACGACCACAAGTAGTTTGCCTTTTTATTCATATAGAACAAAATTTACAAAGTCATTCATACATTTTTGTTTGTTTTTTGTTTTGTTTTTTTACTTACTTCGAAAATTGGGAATATTCAAAATACACTTTTACCCCACTTCATTCTTTCATTATTTACAAGTATATACAAGAAAAACGTAAGAGTTCATTTTCTTTTTCTTTTTTTTTTTTTTTGTTTCTTTTAAATTTTGTATTAAAAATCTCTGCTGGTTGTTTGTACTGTTTGTTTTCATCATATGGATGTTCCGTGCGAGGGCTCCATCGCTTCTGGGATGACTCCCCCCGGCACAGACTGGAATGACATTGGGATCGGGGTTTTCACGGGGCTCTGCCGGAATAGTCCTCCGTTGGGTGACCTGTGTTTGCACTGTATGGAGGGCATGGTGGCTGAGCTGCTCAGGGGCAGCGGCAGGTTGCTGCCCGAGGCAGCTGTCAGTGTCCTGCTGGCACCATGAGTTGTCTGTTCTGGTAAAAAGGTGCTGACAGAAAGTTGCGTGTTCTGGTACTCGCGCACCGGCTCCAGGGTCTGGGCTGGCTGCATGCCCCCGATCTCCAGCGCCGAGATCTCGATGGACGCTGGGGAGATCTGCTTGTGGGCTATGTCTTCATCAATTAAACTGTTCATGCGTCTGTGCACCTGCTCCAGGTTCACTTCTTTGTCCTGGTGGGGAAGAAACCAGAGCAATCAGTCCAAACACAATCTCCAACCCCATCAGCCCCCTTCCTTTCCTCTGTGTGACTAGAGCTGCTGATCACTCATTACATCACTTGGATTTCAGCTGTGCCTGTGCAAAACCTCAAGGTCTGGTGACATCTCCAGATGAAAAACCTGCTGAAGAAAACACGGGCTCAATCTCAGCCTGCTGGAGCTCCTGATGTTGTCAATCCCATCCTCCTGGGAGGTAAAGTAATGGCTGGCACCAAGGACCAGCACACCCTTCACATCCTTGGCTCACCTTGCAGAAGCTCAGATAAAAGCCTATAGCAGGCAAACAGATGACCTGGGACTGCACATTCCACTGGGCAGCTTAGTCCCTTGTCACCACATGACAGCTCATGTGTCTGCAGAGCATTTTCTAAAGAATACGTCAGTAAAAACAACCCTGACTTCAGGGTAGTTGCTTCATTGAAATCTGCTAGTCAGGGGTTGTGGTGATGATGAATTCCTCCCATCAGGAGGCCCTGGGTCACCTGTGTGGCACAGAATAAAACCCCCTGGAGCAGCACTGAGAGAGGCCTACTCTGGGAGCCCAGGGGAGGGAACCTTGCATTTGTGTTTGGAACAGTTGCATGACAGACCATAAGCTCTCTGTCATCTTGACATATCATCTGGAAAAGTCTATCTGTGGTCAGAGCTCAGGAAAACACTGTTGGTCTTTAGGAAATGCATCACCATCTTCTGAAAATGTGTTTCCTAAGGTTCATAGAGTGGTCTCCTCATCTGTCAGAACCACTCACTCAACACACTTTAGCTCTTATGAGGAAACACAGCAAAAGGAGTTGTCTTAAAATCCTGAAGTAGCAAAGACCTACAGTGGGCTGTTTATCACCTCAGTACGGCATTCAAGATGCTCAAACTGAGAAGCAACAAAATTGGCAGGGTGAAGTCAACCACCTGGGATGCTGTCTGACTGAATTTTAACAGCTTGCATTGTACTACCAATAAAAAGGTATTACATTATATAATTTCTCTACATTTCATAAAGCACAGCTATGATTGCAGTTGTAGTTATTTGATGCAAGTGTAACACACAGCAGAATAGCAGCAAAGTGTAACAGCCCAACAACCCTGGAACTGGAGAAATTCCCTGGTCCAACACAAACCTGTAATTACATTACTCACACAGCAAGGCTCTAACCTAGGGAGCAGGACTACCCAAAACTTTTGTGTTCCAGTAATCCCTGACTCCCCAAGGTAAACCTGGGCTTAAATGTTGGTTTAACACCAGTCTTACTGATTTATACCAAGATCCAGGCTCAGGGAATGAAGTACAAAGTGTCACTGCCACTCACTGCTTTTAATATTTCATCACTGGTGTTCAGGTGGAGCACAGAGAATTACAATCTTATTCCAGTGGTATCCTCTGCTATGCAACTTTGCTTTCCCCTGTAAATTGACAAGCCAACTCCAAAGTCCTTGATTCCAGTCAATGTCAACTACAGATTCAGTTGTAACCCTGTGATTTAACACCCCTTCTACATTACTCAAGAACCATTGAATTTGCTGATCCCTGCATGGGTTTGGAAATGAATTAGTGTTCCATGATGTACAGTTCAAACCTGTGTCCTTAGCTTAGGCTAAATCCATATTGATTTCAAGTGGAACACAATTGTGCCACAATTACAGGGCTGAGCTGCGTGTTACAAATTCTTTGCTAATCAGTGGAAAATGAATTCCTATTTAATTTATGTCATAAACTCACCAAAATCCCCATGAAGCTTCCAGAAACCTGGGGGTATAATCTTCCTCACCAAAGAAACAAATAACTTTTTAAAAATCCTGCTTTTTCAGCCAAATCCTCTAATCGGATAATTTTGAGTTAGAGACAAATCAATGGATAATAAAATAAAAAATAAACTTTTTTGACATGAAGGGATCACACAACACGTGATCAGATAACCCCTGCAGCTCTATTAAGTCCTTCCTGACAACAAACACGCCTGACCTGTCAGGCCCTTCATTCAATACATTAGACAATGCACTAAGCTGATGATAACTCAGATACTCTTCCCTAAACTCTGTAGCCAGGAAACTTAAGGATTTATGGTGCAGTGGCCAGAGGATTACATAGATTTAATTCATCATTTCCCCAGTACCTTTTTCTTGAACTAAAATTGTAGACCTGGGGCAAACATGAGATAAGTTCTTCCATTATTCCCAATGGGAGTAAGCTCAACCTCTCTGGCTGGGTTCCTTTGGAACAGATGTCCAATTACTCACTGCTTTATTTTCCTCACCTGTTTGCCAACAAAAGCTTGCTGCAAAGTTCTGCTTGTGCACAAACTGCATCTAGCATCACCTATGATGATGCTGTGTCTAAGGAGCTAACTCCCATTATGCAATGCCTCCTTAGGTACCCTGTACTGTTTATTTTCTAAATGCTGCTGCTAGCAGAGATGTTGACTCCTAGCTGGCATTCTGGGTATCTGGGACTCATATTCTTGTCAAGCCTCCACTACAAAATAAGAAAACAAAAGAGAACTCGGGTTAGAACTGAGCAAATATTAGAGCAAATTTTCCTAAATGAGACTTTGGCGAAATGCTCATGACTCATTTAAATTTTTCTGAGGTTTTGCCAAATACTAATGCCTTCTTCAGATCATTTCAAGTGAAAATATACACCAATGTTTTATTTATATTTTATTTTTTTTTTTTAATTGCAAGTATATCCTAAGTGTATTCATCCTGCTTTGCTAGTGGAACAAGTAAAATGAGACTTGGATAAAGCCAATCCAGAGGGAAAGGTAAGGTTTCAATAATTGCAACAAGCAGTCATTAATTGTTTGCAGAGAGAAAATAAATTCGTGAATGAAGCAGGATCTTCATTTGGAGCATCTGGGCACAGAAGGTCATAAAATTCAAAGCATGAATTAATCTTGATTAATTGAATTAATATTTAGCTGAGCCCTTTTAGATGTAAACATGAAGAGCCACAGCTGGGATGCTCTTAATACATATCCCTGGGTCCAGATCATAGGGATTGTTAAGGACCACATCCTTTGGGATGTTCCCCTCTCCTGGCCTGACAGGCCTTTTCGTCCCCAGCATTCCTCAGTAAATGGTGGATTTGCAGTTGCTTATGTTTCACTGTGCTAAAATTTTCATTCTCAATAAAGATTAAAACCAGTTCCTGCACACAGACACCCCATTCCATCCACACCAGAACACTTTTTGAAGTGCATAGAGAAGTAAACACTTGGGATCTCTTTAAGAGGCAGGGGTGCTGATTTCACTTGCCTACTTCTCTTTCTTCAGCATTAAGGACAACTTGCTGGCCTTATAAAGATCAAAGAAAAGTTTTTAAAGGCTTTCTACAGAACAGGAATTCACATTATTCCCTCTTTTCCTTGTCAAAATAAAATGTTTGCAAAGGTTATGGAAAACAACTTGTCTCTGAGGAATTATAAAATCACATTTTTAAAGGTTCTTTCCTTTTTCTTTGTCTTATTAGAAAAGAGCAGCTAAATAACTAAATGTCAAGGTTTGTATGAGACTATCTTAATGGTGAATGAATGATTCTTCAAATCCTTTTAAAAAACCCAAGATTAAATTCAGAAACCCTTGAAAAGATTAGTTTGTCATTGCACACCATAAAACTGCTTTGAATCCAAGATTTCCAGAAGCAGAGGTTTCAGGATAGCATTATGTGACAAGTCAACCTTTCAGACTCTGTAAATTCTGTAAAACTAATCTTTTTTTTCCTTTTATTTTTCTTCTGGGAAATTCAGAACATGGCATATGTTACTGAAAACTAACAGGCTAAATGAAAAAAGGTTTAAATGGCAATAAAGCCAGAAAAAGAAATCTTAAGTTATTATGTTTTATCCATTGTCAGCTCCATGTTCTCCTTTATTTGTAGTTCTGTGCTTCTCATTAAATATCAGTAATTTGTAAAAAAAAAAAAAAATATTTTTTGCACTTAATATATAAAATTTAGTTAATATTATAAATATGTCACATCTCAGACATTTCATGCCAATTCAATTTCACTTCTCATCTATGGCTGTGTTGGACACAAGTATATGCTTGTGTTGTCAGGAAAAGATAAAATAGTTTTCCTTTGCTGTCTTCATAATTCTATTTTTAATATTAATGTTGTACTCCAAATAGATCAGTTGAAGAAATTAATCAGTGAAGGAAAGAAACATGTAAGGAAAATTAATTATGCACCCAGACTTATCCTCTGCAGCTTAAGGAAAACAGCAAAACAACCATTGCTCCTGGTCAGGAAATTCTCTTATGCATAAATACCAAGCGAAATGTCAACGTCCCCCAGTGAGTTTGAGTTCTGGAAGGGCCTTAGAAGGGCAGGTTTCTGATATGTCCCAAGCCCTTGATCAGGAGCAACAGGTTCAATGGCCTGTGACTGACAGCAGGAGCACACCCTGGCTTGGAGCGATCTGGAGGATGCTCACCAGAATTGCCTGGGAATGACTAAACCTGCATGGTCACACCTGCAAGAAACTATGACTCCCTTTCAGGACTAACCAGGTCTGCCCTTTTCACACAGAGTGGAATTATGACAAGATAATGCAGACACCATCATTTACAGAGTAATCAGTTTTTCTTCCTAGCTTATTTTCAGTGACTCTTGACAGTTGGTTCTAATAAAGCCTGTGAGCAGTCATACTGAAAGAATATGGTACCAATTGGGAGGTTTGGAGTCAGTTAACGTGATCAAATTCAAGGGTGTTGGAAGGGAGCTACTGGCTGATGTTTTTGAGAAACTGCCTACATCCCTCTAAATACAATTAATTAAAAGTTAATACTGCTTAGCTTACTGGCTTGCAACACTTGGGATCTTTCAAGGGAAAATTTTTTGAGAAAAATATTTTAATTAAAGACACCATTGTGCTGTCTGGTTTTTTACTTGTGATTTCTGTGCGCTTATCACAGAGTTCTAGAAAAGCCACTTCAAGACATAAAAATGCTACACGATG